ACTTATGAAAATAAGCATCTGACAACTATCACAAAAGGTGTTTCACTTGTGATCACCTATGAAATGAGTTACTTGCTTAATAATAATTAAGGTGTGATAGCTTCAGTTGTCATTGCCTAGTCAATGCAGGTTCAATGGTATAATAAGGTTGGCCTTTTTTCCTTTATCTCAGCATATGTCGAAAGAAATTAACTTTTTGCGGGATGATTCATACTACGAGTAAATGGCTTGACATTGACATATAGTTGATGTTAGCAAATGAAAGACGTATGGAAGTTCATTGAACGGGGTAGGCACATTTGGAAAGTAAATTGTTTTGGAGGGAACAATTGCTTTTTTCTTTTGCATTGATTTTGTACAAGTTTGAAATTCAAACTTAAAAATTGAACCGACTTCTCCTATTAGTTACTCATGCCTCGTTTGTCGTGATTTGTCTTCCCTATATCTACCGTATCTTATCATTCTTCATCATATTCGTCTCTTCAAAAATTCCTTTTGAAACCCTAAAATTCCTCTAGTTTTACATTCTAAATGACAATCTCGATGAAGTGGCCTTTGCTCTCACCAGGGGACAACTCAACAAATGGCTCTCGCATGGGTTGTTTGTTAAAAGTCTCACCCCTCAGGCCAACGCATTATAGAAGATTGGCTCATTGACCTGGACACCCACGTGGAACAATCAATTTGTGACGCCTACTTAAGCAAGCGTCATTTTCGTATTCTTAGCGGTGTTCCGTTCCACTTGGGGTCTGTGATTTCCGAGACCGTCGTGTCCTTTGTTGATATCTCAAAACCCCACAAGTTGCTTCCATTTCCGTCTACCATATATGCCATTCTGGTCAAGGCTCGGGATGGACTCCAGGGTTAGTGATGTGCATTCTCCATGGTAGTTGTGTAGGTGACCATTTCAAGTAGAGTGTAGAAGGAGGTTGCACTATAAATCCTTGGTAAATGGCTGGAAGATCTATACTAACGAAAGAGATTTGGAGGGAGAGTGAGACGCTCTTCTGAAGGTTCATTTTGGAGAATTTAGCTTCCGCATTTGTGTGAACTTTACTTTAAGTTTACTGTTAAATTCATATAACTCTTACTCTGGTTGTACGTGATATCCGTACGCAACTATATTAATGAACTAAATATACACTATAAACGAACTAAATATGCATTTGTTATGAACTAAATGTGCATTCAAAGTATGCAATTAAGAGCAATATCCTAGAGACTTACTGCAGCCTGCAACTACTGTCTTTATGTTCTCAACTAAGTATGCATTATGTATGAACTAAATATGCATTATGTATTAACTAAATATGCATGATGAATAAATTAGAACTGTATTATGTATCACGTTAGTTATATAATAAATTACCTAAGTGCCAGAGTGCAGTTATTCAAACTTTAAATAATTTATATATTGACCCCAGTAATAATATTGCGAAATTTCATAAGATTTTTTAAAATTGCAATTAAATACTCAGGATTTGTCTAATTATCAAACACAAGTCCCTTGCCCCAAATTTTGGTTTTCAGCCGACGGAAGTACCGCGGCCACGAGTACGTTGGCGTGAATGCCACCGTAATCGGTGCCAGGCGCTACATCGTTGAGTTTTATAACACCGACAAGTTTACTATATAGCGCCTAGCAGACGGGTACTCCTCCTTGTTGGAAACGTTCCCCCAATCCTCGTTGCCAAGCCGAACAAACTGCGGTAGGTGGTGAAGACCATGTGCGCGACGGTGAGGAGGTTGATGACGAAAGCCAGCATGGAGAACTACCCAAAGGTAGCCTAGAATCTACCTACCATAACACACACACTAAAAGCTCCCAACAGGATAATAACAAAACAAAAGCTCCCAACAGGACAATACACAAAATATTGAGAGAAAGAATAAAAACAAAGCCTACATACAACCACGACTCCTAATACCTAAACTAAAAACAGCAAAATACACCACCCTTCCGCAACTAACACCACAACAAGCCAACCATCGGACGCCAATGGACAACTGACCACACGTACATAGCTAAGGCCTAGAAACCTAAACTAGAAACTGCCAAACAACGCCTAACTGAGTTGGACACTATCGAACTCAAACCACGTCCAGACCGATACCCAAGGTCAGCACCCGGAGACCCACACCACAGACCATCCACAAAACTGACAAACCGACCCTGAACTTAGAAACTAGCCACGATCCCAAACTTGTCGGCCATCACCTCCGTCCAACACCAGAGACAAGAAGGACACGGAAGCCAGTGGCAAAATCCTACACCCCGAATCCCCCAGAAGGAGAAACGAGGTCGCGACTCACACGAAGAAGCACCAGAGGCTTGCCCAACTATGAAATTACCTGTGAAACGGTGGCCCTCCTCGCCAATCTAGCAGCCTAAGAACCGGTGAGACCTAAATTGGGAATTGGGCACAACCATCTCCAGCAAAAACCCCACCTCAAGTTGGAAAATCTTTGAAAATCAAGTCACGAGGCCCAATGAAACACGGTCGCGAAACCCTGGGCAACTCGCAGGCAAATAACCGAAACACCAAAATGGAATACCTTCCGGGAGCACCACACCAAACAAACTTCCAACACCAAACCAGATGAAAGTAGCCAATCGCCAATGGCAGCTGACCACCCCTCCGTCCGACCATCTACCCTAACACCAGGAAGGCGAGAAGGACCCATGGGAGAGATAAAGCGACGTACTCAGACCTCACCTCTACCACGGCAGTGGCTGGATCCGGTGCCGACCGACTCTCCGCTCAGACACCAAAACCCCACAGAAAATTTCGTCGTGGTCTCCTCGAAGAGGAGAGACGCAGCACCAAAAAATAGGGGTTCTCGACTGAACGAGAGTCACGCCGGCATCCCAAAGAAGAGCAACACCGTCCCCGACGGCCGAAGGGGACTGGATGAAGAGCTGATTTGGGGCTTTGTAAGAGAGAGAGAGAGAGAGAGAGAGAGAGGTTTTATGTGGGGATCAGTTCCATTGCAGGGAGGTGTTTTCGACGATTGTTAATGGGGAATCTGTCGGCGATTATGAACTAAAAACTAAAAAGTGGGTTTACATATTAAGCTTAGGAACATAGTTGGATTTATATTAATTTATTTATTAAGATATACTTAATTTAAATACAATGACTACAATTTTATATTATTAATACGAGTCATGGATTATACATAAAATTTATTAGAGAAAAGTCCTAATAGATCAACTCCTATATTTAATATGATGACACCGTAACTTTTACGACATCATAATAAAAAACAACAAAAATTGATTAGTAAATAAAATCTTGGATATCAAAATTGATTTAAGTAAAATATTAAATAGAAAAAAAGAAGGAAGAATAAAATTTAAATAACATAACGAAAATTTTCTTCCCCAAATTCGAAACCCTTCTCCCAAAAAATCGTTTGCACCGTCTCCACCTTTTTCACTTACAGTTAGTCTTCCTCGGCGAAATCGGGGCTCAGTCAGTGGTCGCCCTCGACTGCTCATCCCTTTCTCTGCCGTTGTGCACCTCCCGAGGTCCTCTGCGATGGCGGACGTTGCGGTCCGGACGACCTCTCCTTCTCTTGGGGAGGCCTCGTAGATTCCGGTTGCTGGCTTCATTGAGTTGCATCGACATTTGGTGGCGTGCGGGTTAGGGAGTGGGGCGAGACTCCGCTGGTTCGTGGCGCTTCGCTTCGGGGTGGTCAGAGTCGATCTGTTGTTCTCTCCTCGGTTCTCTTTTGTGGGGTCCGGTGGAGCCGACACTTCTGTTCTCGTCTAGTGGTGTTAGTAGGGTGGGGCTATGTTGGTCTAGGCTAGTGGTGTTAGCCGGGTAAGGAGTGTTCGATTCCTCTGGCTGGGGACGAATCGTTTCTCGGGTTTTGTTATAGGCTTGGTTTCGGCTTCAACTAGACGGTTTGGTAGTTTCAGTAGCAGTTCCTGGGTGGGCCTTTGGATCTCTCCTTGAAATTGGTTGTTCATCAGCTGGTTCGACTAGATCTTTCTGCTATGGAAGGGTGTTGTTTCTTAGTTGTTTAGGTTCTTATGTTTTAGTTTGGTTTTGTGTTGTTTGTGCTTGTGTTGCTTAGGACTTGTGTTTTTTATTTGGGTCGTTGGCCTCTGTGAGCCCGAGTATTATGCCCTTGGAATCGTCTTTTATTCTCCTTTTGGGAGCATTGTAGTTTTTTAGTGTTTATTGTTTTTGTCGTGTCATATTGTGAGTCTTGTCTTTTGGTTTCTAGCATTGTGGTGCAAAATAATAATTATGATTATTATTACTATTATTATTATCATTAATAGTATTAGTAGTTTTTTTTATTATAGTATTTTATTATTATTTCCTTATTTCTAGTTGGTAGAAGAATATTTATTTATTTGATATTTTCTTGTTTAGCAAGTTAGAGTTTTTAGTTTTGAGAGTCTTATATAAAAAAAGACTCTCCTGCTTTATTGTTACGGGGAATTTTGAAATTGAATAAGATATTGTGAGTTTTGTTTATCTTTCTCACTCGCACGCTTTGTTGTATTATTCAATTAGGGTTGTAATTTTGCACAGTTGCACATTTTGATTTATAATATACTCTATCATTTGGAAAAAAAAAAATAACAAAATGGAACTTTTTTCCCAAAACTTATATCCGATCCCAACATCAAAAGTTCCACGAAAGAAATCTACCTTCGTTTTTATTTCTACCATCACAGTAAATAAACCAATTAATACAGTTTGGAATTTCGCACCCAAAACGAATAACCGAAAATGGGAGAAAACACAAATTCACATAATCAGATCTCCACCCTCCATTCTCAATCCCCATTTCTCTTCTTCAAAAATCCCAGCCGTTTAACCTAGCCATACATAAATAAAATCTTCCTCATTCTTCCTCTTTCCTCTCGTCCGCAGTCGGATTCCTCAGAAACGAAGCTCAAACCCTTCGGACAGTCTCACGTTCCGTTCTTCGAACACGAACGCTCTGTTACAGCTTTTCAGCTGGATACAGGTAGATAAATGGATTCGGATCAGGGGAAGCTTTTTATCGGCGGGATTTCATGGGAAACGACCGAGGAGAAGCTGAAGGAATACTTCCATGGCTATGGAGAAGTTGTTCAGGCTGTTGTGATGAGGGATAAGATTTCTGGGAAGCCCAGAGGATTTGGATTTGTTGTTTTCTCAGATCCGGATATTCTCGATAGGGTTCTTCAGGATAGGCATGTGATTGATGGCCGCACGGTGAGATTGGGAACTCAATTTATGTCATTATTTCTTATGTGTTCGTTGGAGATGGGGATTTTCGGGAGTAGGGAGTTAATTCTGTTGGGATTATGAGTTGGTTCTTGTTATTATATATTCTTTTGGTCCTTGATATGGCTTTCTTAAAATTTCAGCCTATGTTTTGTTGTTAAATTGTTTTTCTATTTCCTTGTGTTTGTGTTGGACTGCGCTTCATGTATTCTTGTTGGATAAAAATGTAACTTTTGTTTTGAGTTGTCTGGTGGGCCTTCTTTGTTTCGGGATTTTTTGTGCTTGAAATGAGTTGCTTTTTATGTTAAATTGACATTAGTTTGTGCTTCTTGTCAAAGGTGAACCAGTGAATTAATTGTTTTTGTTTCTCATAATCTTTAGTTGAATGCTTTTTTGTGCTATTTTCTTGAAGGTATCTGTTTCTGTTGTTAGTAAGGATCTTGCATCATCATAATGAGTTTGAAATGTTGAGCTTGTTTTACAATATTTTTTTTTTTTTTTGGTAACTTTCTATTGATGGAAATCTGAAATTTTAAGGACGCCACTCTTAAATATTTATTGATATATGGAGCTATGTGTATCAACTGTAATTTTAGATATCTTTTCCATGGATCTGCGGGTAGTATTCCTGTTTGATCCGAAAGGAGCATCACATAACAGCTTTATGTCCTGCACATTTTGCTCTTGATCACATTAGTTAGTCTTATTGGGATTAGATTTTGTAGATTCTGTTGTGAATTTTATAGTATATTGCTGGATTATTCTGAGCTGCTTTTGAGTACTTATAAGTTTGGGTTCCTAATGAAACATGACACATTAATCTTCTGACTGGTGTTTAGAGTGGTGTGTAGGCATTAGCTCGGTCTAATTTCACGTATTCTGATTCTTCCTTTTTCTTTTTACATTTGTTTTTGACGTAGTTCCCAATTGTTTCGCCTTTAAACATATGTGATTCATGAAGGTATTGGAAGTTATGATGATGAGCGGGTTACGTGAAAAAGGGTCGTCTACTGCCAGATACTGCTTGTAGTCTGGTAGTTGAAGCAATTATGCTCTGAGCCAGGGATTCTGAAAGTTGTTCAGTGATAATTGTGCATAATCTGTTTGGGTAATTGGGTTTCCTTCTTTTTTCTGAGCAGCCTCATTACATACGTTTTCTTTTTCGAAATAGGTTGAGGCTAAAAGAGCTCTATCAAGGGAGGAGCAACAGGGTCCAAGAGGCGGCAACTCTGGCGGTGCCCGTAGCTTTGGTGGGGGAAATAACAAGACAAAGAAAATCTTCGTTGGCGGCCTGCCACCAACATTGAACGAGGATGGGTTTCGTCAGTATTTTGAAGCTTACGGTGTGGTAACTGATGTAGTAATAATGTATGACCAGCAGACAAATAGGCCACGTGGGTTCGGGTTCATCTCATTCGATTCGGAAGATGCAGTGGACAGGGTTCTGCACAAGACCTTCCATGATTTGAATGGCAAGCAAGTGGAAGTGAAGCGGGCCCAGCCTAAAGACTCTAATCCTGGTGGTGGGGGAGGGCGGTCTATGGGCGGTAGTTTTGGAGGTGGAGCATATCAGGGCTACGCTTCTTCTGGTGGGAATTCAAACTCTTATGATAGCCGAATGGAGTCCAACAGGTACATGCAGTCGCAACATTCTGGTGGTGGGTACCCGCCTTTCGGATCATCCGGGTATAATGCACCAGGTTACGGATATGGCCCCACCAATAACACCATGGGTTACGGATATGGGAATTATGGTGGAAATAATCTTAGTGCTGGGTATGGTGGTCAGAGAAATTCATGGGGTTCGCAGGGTTCCTCTGGGTATGGCTATGGAGGGTCACAGTGGGGTGGCACTGGCACTGGCACTGGCCAGTCTCCAGGTGGGGGGGTGTCAGGGTATGCGAATCAAGGGTATGGTTATGGCGGATATGGTGGTAATGAGGGAGGCTATGGGAATCAAGCTGGTTATGGTGCCGTTGGTGGCCGACCGGCTGCTGCGCCAAATGGTGGCTCCGCTGATCATGCTGCGGGTGCTTATGGTGATGGGAGTGGTTATGGTGGTAATCCAGGATATCATTCAGGATGGCAATCTGATGCATCACAGGCTTCCGGTAACTATGGTGGGACCTACGGTTCGACTTGGTCGGCTCAGTAGTAATTTTTGCTGATCTATGTTCGTGTTTTGTCTTATTGGAGCTTATGGTGTTTAACATGTTGATCGTTTCTGGTGCGAGAAGGTTGCTCTTGCACAAAAAAGTGTTGGATGAATTTAATTTGCCGTACCTCTTTTTTTTGTGTTTTTATTTGGTAGCCATAAAATAAGTCGTTATTCGGGAATAGATTTGCTGAAAATTTTACTTCTGTCAACTGTAGTTTTAATTCGGCTTGCTTTTTAGCTCTTGCTGTTTTCAGAGTCGCTTGCGTGTGGTAATGTTTGAGATATAATAGATTGTGTTGAGCTTCTTGTGAGTTAATTGCTGGAGATGTTTGGTTATGACGTGACTTCAGTGGTTGAGTATTTCACAGGTTATATGGGATGTTGAAGCTTCTTGTCTTTGTATTTGATCATATTATATACTGATGCGTTGTTTAAAGATTATTACAGAGACGGGGTTACAGGAAGGCTTTGATAACCTCAATAGATGAGATTTAGTTATACCTGGCTCGGATATTTCTGTTGGGTAGTTAAATCTTTGCAGTAGATGAGCTCCTTTTGTTTTTTTCTCTTATAGATATTGTCCTTTTCTCCCTTCTCATTTATTTTGGTTGGGAAGTTGAGCAATTACCATCTCTGGTAGATCGATCTTGTAAATGGGTAGCCATAATGGTAGTGGTAGATAGACTGAAAATTTTCCAGATGACATAATTGTTTCCCCCTGCATTTTTCGTTTGTGTTGTACAGGCTTGGAGATGATCCTGTGCCGGGAGGGTTTGGAAAAATTGTCTGCTCAAACTAAACACAGGGCTTAATGCATCATATCCCTCTATCATGTTTCATGTATTATGGAACTATAGAGCTTGCAATGATTGGATGTGATGCGAGTTACCTTTAAAGTGGGCAGCAGGTGGAACTTGGCATATGTCAATCGCCATGATATACTTGTAATGGGCTGTTAGCCCCTGACAGTGTAAGAAGATAGTGCCAAACAACCTTTTTAAATAAAAGAGATTTGATTTTTTTTTTTCTTGATGAAGTTTTTTTCTTTTGTTATTAGCTTAAGCTAAATAAAAATCCAATCATGAAGCTGAGAAATAAATGACCTGGCTGTTTTGATAGCAGGTTTTTTTTATGCTTATTCAGAGCCACTCATGTGGAAGTCCATTTAGGAAATGGATTTGTGTGCAATGAATTTATCCGAAAGTCTATATATCCTACTTCTTTAGAGTGCATTTTTTAAGAACCAACCTATCCATCAAGTTCATCCCTAGTTAAGTACTCAACGTTGATGACTCAGTGAAATAGACTGTATGCATCAAAGTCCATCTGAAAGGTGTTTCTGAACAAGGACTATATTTTGATCGAGACTTTTGGTATAATGTTCAGAATTGAAGTGTATATGGCATAATGGAACTGTGTTCCACCTGTTGTGTGGATATGAGAATAATGGCAATGTTCAGAATTGATGTTTCTGTTACAGGGTGGAGGATGGATGTTTGTTTATCATGTTCTTTAATGTTTATTATAATGCAAAATTGGGGTTTTAACCGTTTTATATTCTACAAACCATTTGGTTTATTCTGTTCGAATTTGCTGATGTGACATCTGCTGCTATGTTGAAGTTTATGTGTTGATTTGGATGTGTTCAAGTTCCGCTACATATGAACATTATTTTTGGTTGGCTTTGTCTATGCCCATTGGACATTGTGTTCTCAGGCTGGGACTGGAGAAAACGGCCCAGCAATGGCGGATAGAAGAGCTTGTTCCTGTTGGACTGTTTATCAGCCAGTTGCCAATGAATTAATTGTATCTTATACATTTGTAACTGTTGAAATTTAACTCTTTATGTCCTTTGACCAATCACAGTTTCAGTTTTAGGGTTCTTTTATGATTTGTGGAGTCACAATGTTAACTTATTTTAGATTTAAAAAGATGATAATATTTGCAACTCCATCTTATTAAATTGTGTTTTGCAATGAAGTCCATTAGAAGACTAATCTAAGTTTCAAAAGATCAAATGATGTAAATAAATCAATTTAAGATGTGTCATTTTACTATCAGGTATCCTTTTTACATGTCTCGCATCAGGTATCCTTTTTACATGTCTCGTATATACCTGACAATATGTAAACTTATTGAAATTGTTACCCATGTTCTTTTATTTCATTAAATAAACATTTCACGAAAATCTCATTTATTAAACTGCTAAAATAGCATCACTAAAAGTCTATTGAGATTTTTTTATACGATGCTCTAGTTTTATCTCATTTTCGCTTTTACTACCCAAAGTGTTGATCAATTTTTGTACCCAACATTTTGTCTGTTAATCATTTATTGTCCACACCTTCAATTACGCCTAAACACTAACGGCCATCATCAAGCTGTTGTCCGACGACCTACTGGCTACTGGCATAAGAAAAATAGTGGAGGGTTAACATTTTTTTGCCTTTGAAAAAAATCATAAAAATACATTTTAAATAAAAGGCTCATATGACAACGAAGCGCATTTTGGTAGTAAGACGCTTCACCTATGACTGATTGGTCATCGGTTCGAGTCCCAAAGGAGAGGATGTGAGAACATTATTGATCCTCCTTCAAAAAAAGGAAAAAAAAAAAAAAATAGAAAGCTCATATGGCCTGAACACAACAAATTGATTAAGGTCTACTACATGAAAAGAAATAAAAAATGAAAAGTCACTCGTCAAATTTGGACAACCGAGTCGCTAAAAAAAAAAAAAAAAAAAAGTCTGGTTGAAGCATTTGTCCCGCTGCCGAGCGCCTATGAAAATTTCTAAAATTTACCGTCATTTTTATGACTACTGGAAAGTTTTATCAATGATCGAGAGATGTCGTTGGACGCCTTATGAAAAGAGCTTTCTACATACTAGTGTTGCAACTCGTGCAATGCACGAGACATAGTGTAGAAAATATTTTATTACCAAATATTTAAGATAATATGTCAGTTCTATTCAATACAACATATGTCTGTAATAATATAACATTTATTTAAATATTTTCATTTTTATTTTTGTAGGTATGAATTTTATTAGTTATTAGTTTATAAAATATTATAAAAGTGTAATATTGAAAGTACTAGTAAAGTGCACGTGCGATGCACGTGGTGTCGAATGATTTTCGCGGAGTAAGTTTCTAAAATAAATTAATTTATTTATTAAATATATCATTGCATAAATGAAGTAACTAAAATATAGAAAAAATAAACTCATATGTGATTTTTTTATTTAGAATTAACATAATGATGTCCTCATATAAAAATATGAAATAATGTTTCACAAACCCCAAAAAAATATATATAAAAAAACAAATTCCTAATAAAAAAAATACAAAGATTTTCTTTCATTTTAGTTTTATTGTTCTCATAAGAACATTCATAGTCGTTGGAGTCCAATACATCAATACTATTGCAAAATTCCTCTTAATTAATTTGGCAAAATGCCAATTTTATTCAAACACTTAAGAAACATTCTGACCCAACATATAGTCAAACTTCATGATCGTATGATCTTTATAACAAGGTACTTCTACTAACAAAGGATAATATCTCTATGAAATAACTAACGGTGTCACTAAAATTGCTAATATTTTTTATCACTGTATAAACTACTACATTTCTCTATCTCTAGATATATTAGTGTCTACCCCATTGATGCATCGCCCCACGAGGTGGGAATGAATTTTATCTCTAAATAAAACGTTGACTTTCCAAAATCTTGGTTACATGTATTTCTCCCGAGGTGTTAAATTATTTTTTTGAAATCATCATACATTACCTGAAAGTACCTCTAAAGTAATTGCACATATGTTCAAGTACAATACACCAATGAGATTATAAGAGGATGTATGGATATAAAATTTTTTGGTTTTGTTTGGATTTTTTTATTTGGTTTGGTTAATTTTTAAAAATGTGGTATGGTTAGTTGTTAGTTGATGTATTAAAATAATATTTAGAATAAAATAATTTAAGTTGATTTGATGTAAAAAATAGAGAGAGAAGTTGCAGTGCTGGTTAGTTAAAATTATGTGAGAGGATGAATAGTAAATTAGAGATGATGTGTTGTGTAAGAATGATTGATTGATGTTATTTAATTATAATAAAATATTGATGATAGTGGGGTTGAGTTAAAGATGAGTTAAAAAAGTGGTTGAATTAAAAATGATTGAATTTTTTTGAGATTGTTTTGTATCCAATCATGCTCTAAATATTTCTATAAAAAGTGACAACTTAATTCTAACATTCAAAACTGTTTTGATACTCTACATTTCATTTTCAGTGTTATTTATCTAGAATATAGACGAACAATATAATCTATTTTTTGCAATGATAAAACAAAACAATGAAAAAATATTGAGAAGCATATCATTTGTTAAAATATTTGACAACAAAAGAATTAGAGTTCCATTACATGACGATACTTTTAGTCATTCGTAAAGTTTATTATTATTGAGTCATGATTAAAATATACATCATATATACAAATTTTTAGATTTTTTAATTATTTAAAAATTGAAAATAAATAATATATGATCATTATTTATGAGTACCATTTTCTTACAGAGTCCATATATTTAAACGCTAGCAACAAAAAAGTAGTAATTTTAAAAAACTTTTTATTTGTAAATATTGGTATTCATACTTTTCTAAAAAAATTAGCATGTTTTCTTTTTCTTATTGCATTACTATTATATTATTTGTTTCTTATTCTATAGAAAAATAATATTTTCTTCTCTAAGTAACTAAAGCACATTTATACGTATTATGTTATTTTTTGTATGTGTTTTATATAATGATGGTAACAAATTATCTTATTTATTAGGCTACAATTAATATAATTACATAAGATTAAATGTAATTTAATATATCTGATAAAATTGTACTTTTTATAGGAATTATTAGATTAAAATGTTTTAGAATTTTTTCCAATGTTTGATAAAATATTAATTAACTAAGTCATTTTGATAATCACTGAATACATATATGGTCCACCATTATAGGGTTCATTTTGCAGCAGTAATTGACTTCACATAGCTAATGTTATTTCATTTCCTTTCTTTGGCCTAGCCTTTCCTTTTATCTATGACTTCACATTGCTTCGCTTCGTTTGTACTCTAAGATGCATTTGCCATAGTTTCAGCCTTACGACAAACTCGTGTCAAACATATATCGGATTTGAGTGCTCTAGCCAAAACGTGGGAACAGTTAGAAGTTTACACCCATTTTTTTACTTTTTTTTTTTTTAATATGAATTGTTTCAAATTTATGTATGGAAAACATACCACAAGTTTATCTTATGTTATTTTATACTTAATAAAATTGATTTAACTTGAATATAATATATATATATATATATATTATTTTATATTAATATAAATAATTATATTATTTTTATTTTATTGCAATATATGGGTCAACTCAAACGTTATTGAAAATAAATGATGTGATATATTACATATAAAAAGGTAACAAATAAAAAAAATGAAGTATTTGAAAATTAAAAAATTTAATGATAGAAAGTAATAAAAATCTTAACTAAAAAATTTTAAGATTAACATACCCAATTTTAAAGAAATATACATATGAATATATAGATATATAAATAGTATATATATTATGTACTTAAAAGTTCTAGTTAAAATATATGTGTATCTTAAGTATGTTTTATATTTATCATTAGCCAGTTCAAATTGATATTGTACATTAAGTAATTTTATCAATATTTTTACTTTTGGATTTAATGAGAGTTATAAGTTTTGTCATCTTCTTACCCCTTATTTAGTTATTACAATACTAATA